AACATAGATCCAAGGTATTTAGGGTTGTATGTGCACCATAGGATGTTGTAGTATACCAAAACCCAACAAATATTTCATGTTGGGTGTTATATTAAGGACTAAAATCAACTAAACTTGAATTTCTCCCTTCTTCGTATTGTAGTGGAACTTCACTTCCTCCACCTCCTCCAATAATTCTCCCTAACCCATAAGTTCTAGGTCACTTAAAGCCCTATTGGCAGGAAGGAAAAGTCTATATGTGCTCACGTCTTGGAGATGAAGTCACATATTGACAAGCTGGGAGAGTTGGGTGTCCAAGTCTCAAGCAAGTTGGCTGTTGACTGGGTTCTTCAATTACTTCCTAAGCCATATAGCGGGTTATTTAAGGACTACTATATGGGAGATCATGACATAACCCTTATTGATCTAACATATTTGGTTGTTGTTGCTAAATCAGCAATGATTTGGTGCACTGGTAAAGCAAATTTGATTGGAAGGTCTACTCCTCAAACTTCCATGGACATTGACAATGGTAACATTGGAAGTCTAAAAAAGATTTCTCTTCCCAGTGGAAAGGGATCGACCATGGTCAAGTCATTTGATCAAATGGTAAAGAGGAAGGCTAAGTCTGAGATAGTCCCATATACCATTCCAAATAGTCCATATGTTTCTATTGCCAAGAGAAGGGGCATTGGTTGTGAAGCTGCGGTATCTACCTGAAGGACCACAAGGATGGTAAAGTCATAGTGTATGACTCTGCTTCAGGTAAGTCCAATATCTAACTCTATTAAGTTCTCATTTGGAGATTATTAATACATGATGTAATGTAATTACATTTTTATGTTTTGAAGAATCGAAGAATAGAAAAGAAGCTTAAAGGAAGAGTATGATGAATCTGGTCGCGAATATGGATTTGGATCGCATGGTTCGATGATCGGATTTTTGAGCTGCTGCTTAAGAGTTATGATAGATTGCTTAGGAATAGATAACAACATATTTTCACTTGTATTTGCATTGTAAGGATAAGTTTTCCGCAATTTTTATAAATAAAAAAAATATTGAAATTTATCTTATTTTTAAAATTTCCTTCAATGGCTTTTGTGAAGAATTGTTGTTTATATGATTCCATTGATAGCAATATTAGAAAAATGGATTTGATTCTTTCGTTTGTGGTAGTGTCGAGAATTTACCAAATAAGGAAAGATTCTCATCACCCAAGTTTAAGTTGGATAGAACCTTCATCTTTGGGAAATTAAGACTAATTCTTTGCTCACATGTTTATGTGAGTCAAGTGAAGGACTAGGGGATCGAGTACACTGGGTGTGCGTTGGTCAGGTCCACCACAAAGAATGATAAGACTATTCATCATGATTTACTAAAGTTTAGTAAATATGGTTATGCTTACAAGGTTAAGTATAATTCTGAAACATTGGAAAAGTTTCAATGTATGGCAGAACGAGTGAGAAGAATCAAATTGGGAAGAAAGATAAAAGTTTCTCCAATCTGAAAAGATGGGAGAGTAGTAGAGTATCGTGTTTTATGATCATCTTAATGATTATGAAAACCATGTAACAATTGATCCTCTAAGGATATCTTAGTGCATTTGTATAGCTAATAAGAGGAATCGCGAATTGTTGAAATGGTTAAATCAAGAATATGAGTCATACTTCGTTCCAAAACAAGTCTTAGAGTCATACTCGAAGATTGTACCTTGAGTGACATAATCTTAGGAAAGGTTTATAACACTCATCAAATGTAGAGTTAAATGTTTTTACTCTTGTACATTTGAAATTGGTAAGTTGTAATGTCTTGGTAAGGACAAAGACCAACTAAGACCAATTGTGTGAAGTGTTTATCTTGATAAAGAATCCGCACTAACTCTTGAATATTTGTTTTGTCAAGGAATGGTTCTTGACAGAGAATCTTATATGTCAAGAGGTCAGTGGGAGTCTTAAAGATCTTGAAAGTTTCAAGAACAAACCAAGGGTAAACGATTGTTAAACACTAGCACATGGCTTGAGGTTTGTAACCTATCGTGTTGACATGTTCTTATTTTTGTGCCCATTCCAGTTAAAAGTTGACTATGCATGTGAGTTCTATGAGTTCTCAATTGTTTGCATAACAACTTGGAAGTAATGGTAGGCCCTTGTGCTGCCAAGTGGAAAGAAATTAAGATTGAACTAGATCAATTCATATGAGTTTGGATTTGTCACTAACCTTGTCCTTTGATTAGGTTTGACAAATTCACATGGATAGGAACACATACACCATAAAATCTAAGTGTCATAAGGTTTCTCTCCGAATCATGAAAATGATTGTGAGGAAACGCTTTCACTAAGTAGATTTTAAGAAGATATCAATTATGATATTTGCATTCTCAAATTTTATTATGATTACGGCATACCTTTTCATAATTCGAATTGTGAGGAATGGCAAAAGTCTAAACATTTGAGACTTATTGTTGTAAGTTCTTAAATTGTTTAGACACACATGTGAGTTATCTAAGGAAAGGTGTATGATTTTGAGAAGCCTAGATAAAGTCTTATCAAAGCATCTCGTATCAGAAATATGAACTTTGGTAATGAAAGTCAATAAGTATTTATTTCTAGAAGTCTAGTTGATTTCTGGGTACATGTCAAAGCTAGTGGGAGCATAAATATTATGCTAGTAAAAGTAATGATTATTATGCTAGTGGGAGCATAATCAATTATGATGAATGTTGCAAGTTAGCAATGTTAATTATAGAAAACAAAAGTTACAATTCACAAGTTGCAGGGTTTGAAAAGTTGTTTTACTATAATTAAGGGAGAGGAATTCATACTTCATTT